TGTGTGTGGGTGGGGGATAAGTTGGTTCATTGGACAGAAGAGTGGCTAGATGGAAGAAAGCAGAGGTTTTTTTATAAATGGCGTTCAGTCCAACTGGATTAATGTCACAAGTTAGGTCTTCGTGATTTACACCAATGACGTAGATGAAGGAATGATCAATAAATGATATTAAGGTCTTGGGTGTTGCTGGCTGTGAGGAAGATACTGGTGCTTTATAAAGGGATTTCGATTATTTGGTGAGTTGGTAGGTGAGCTTTGATTATAATAATGCAAGGAATACTTATGGGTTATCACAATTTCAATTATGAGCGTAATTTGGATGGGAATAACCTTAACAGTGTTATGAAGGAAAAGGGATCTTGGTGTAATAGTTGATCAGTCTCTAAAGCTATCCAAGTAGTGTGCTGGAGCTAGTGGTGGGACAAATAGGATTTTATGTTGTATCTACATAAATATAGAATACGAGTGTAAAGAGGTTATAATGTCATCGTATAGGTCACTGGTTAGGCCACATTTGGAGTACAGTGTTCAGTTTTGGGCTCCTTACTTTAGGAAGGACATTAAATTGTTGGAAAAAGCTCAGAGAAGGCTACTAGGATGATACTTAGGGTGAAAAGTTTGTCATACAAGGGGAGGTTAAGACCTCCGAAATTGTTTTCTCTTGTAAAAATAAACATTAGAGGGGATCTGATTGAAGTTTGTTTTTGAATTTCGCGCAAAGCTACACGAGGGCTATCTGCGCTAGCCGTCCCTAATCTAGCATTGTAAGACTAGATGGAAGGGAAGTCATCACCACCCACCGCCAACTCTTGGGCTACTTACTCTTTTACCAACGAATAGTGGGATTGACCGTCACATTATAACGCCCCCACGGCTGAAAGGGCGAGAACGTTTGTTGTGACGGGGATTCGAACCCGCGACCCTCAGATTGCGAGTCGAGCGTCCTAACCACCTGGTATTGCCGGGCCTCTGATTGAATTATTTAAGGTTGTTGAGAAATAATCTCTTTTCAGGCATATTTTCCTATTATATTAAGAGTAAAAAAAACACGCAAAAACCGACGTTTTTTGGCACAGTGAAAGGTCAAATCGTTATTATTAGTTGTAGCCAACTAGTTTCGTAACACAGTAACTAATAATAATGATTTGACCTTTCATCGTTCCAAAAACGTCGGTTTTTGAGTTTTTTACTTTAATATTGGTGAGAAAGTTGAGAGTGTTGATGCATCATCTTTTTTTTTTTCGTACTTAATGGTGAGAACGGCAGGACTTGGGGACACGTATACAGACTTTGTTATGTATGGTGGGAGTCATGTTCCAATAAGACAGCTATATTTTTCTAACAGGGTGGGTGGCTTTTTGAAAGCGTTGCCTTCAGATGTGATAAATTTAAGGTAAAAACTTGACAAATATTAGAATGATATAAGCTGGATACGAGATTATTTTTAAACTTTTAGGCTAGTGGATTGTTATGTATGGTGGGAGTCATGTTCCAATAAGACAGCTATATTTTTCTAACAGGGTGGATGGCTTTTTGAAAGCGTTGCCTTCAGATGTGATAAATTTAAGGTAAAAATTGACAAATATTAGAATGATAAGAGCTGGATATGAGTTTATTTTTAAACTTTTAGGCTAGTGGATGGGATGGCCTAGATGGACCAATAAGTTCATTTTTATCCTTAAATCTAACGTTACGTGTCAATGGTTTTTTTTTCCGCTTACTTTCGTCATCCTTGTTTGAAACTTTGGAGAGCAGAACTCCCATGTAAGGAGAAACAGTGCTAGCGCCCCGAATATTCGAATGAGATAAAGAACCACATAGAGATGGAGCCAGCGGGTTGACAGGTGACAGCGGGAACTTATATCGCGACGCCCCCTATAGGTCAAAGAGTAAAACATCATAATCAATGATAGAACTGCTCTGCTATAAGACATATTATCAGTAAACAAAAAATAATAAATCTCCTGGAAAAACACGAAAAGAATTTAATGATTTTATTTTAGTAGATTTAAAATAATTACCCCTCTTTATACCGATACTATATAGGAGTTTAGAAAAATATCTATAAATTTACATCCGACAAAAAGGTGTAATAAATTTACATCCGACAAGGTGTAATAAACTTACATTCGACAAAGGTGTAACAAATTTACATCCGACAAAAAGGTGTAATAAATTTACATCCGACAAAAAGGTGTAATAAATTTACATTCGACAAAGGTGTAACAAATTTACATCCGTCAAGGTGTAATAAATTTACACCCGACTAAGAAGGTGTAATACATTTACATCCCACAAGGTGTAATAAATTTACACATGACAAAGAAGGAGTAATAAATTCACACCCCACAAGAAGGTGTAATAAATTTACACCCCACAAGGTGTAATCATTACTGTTATTGGTTACATAGCTTGGAACTTTTGTTCATCACGTGATCTTGACCTCTTAAACTTCGCATAACAAACAGAGAATGGGACTTACTGATCCCGTCACAATAATATCTTACACGATCTGTATAGCACTAAAAAATATTCAAATTCCCTGACTTTATAACTTATATTGAATCATAAATAATGCCTTAATTAATATACAGTTATACTACAAAATATATATAACAAATACTGAACTTACCAAAAGATGGCACTAGTGCAGGCGTGATAAAGATGAAAATGAATCTGTGATGACGTTAATAGTTACGCTTAACGTATTGTAAGACAATTACATACTGTATATGACATAATATTTGAATTAAAAAAATGATGAAAACACGGTAAACAATTATTCAATTAAACGACAGTTAAAAGTAGAAACTTACGGGACACAAACACACACACACACAAAAGGCATTTTGGTGACGTACACAAGTCATATACGCGTTTCAAGAAGAAAGAACAGTACCTGACCATGGACACCAGACGATGTAGAAGACAAAGACTCCATACTTTCTGTTTCAGTTAGATTTCCACATTTTCGGGTAACTGGTGCAGAACAAATGGATCCAGATGTAGAACCCCCACCGTAGCGGAGCCCAACATAAGGGCTGGATGATGAGAACTGCAAAGAAGATAGTACCGCGGGGTGATCCAAAGTTACGTAATTCCCCGTGTCTCCATCGCCGGGTTTTAGCGAGGAAAACAATCTAGGGGAATACTGAGAACGTTCTTTCGTGGAAGGATGGTGGTGACCCCCAGGTAGCGTGACGTAGTCCGAGCTGGGGGTAGAGGCGCCACTCACCCCAGGCCGATTACCACTGTACACGCGCTCGCGCAGACTTAGGGTTGGGGACATAAGTGCATAATTCTTAACAGATCTGCGTCCGAGGGAATTATACTCGCTGTCCGAGTACGCAGAAGACCCGAGCACGTAGAGGTCATGCGAGTTGGTCTGAGTGTTGGCGGACACTTTAACTTTCGTTTTCCGTTCAGATCCTTTGACAGCAGTGCTTGGCGTGCAGTCTGTTTGGCTAGAGATAGTACCGTCAAGCGGAATGTTTGATGGGTCAGGTCGAGATCGATTCACACCAAAACTATTACCCCTCGTTAGTTCTATTCCTTCATCCAAGTTAGTCCCCTCAATCCCACCGGATCCCCTGGAACTACTGATCTTCCCGCCGCTACTATTAGTTGAAACGGCAGTCGTTGTTCTTTTCATGTTGTCATTACCCACCATTGCTCCCGAAACGGCCAATTGTCGAGAGCCCCGAACCTTTCGGATTTCGCATGAATTTTGACTCAAGTTGTCAGGAGAGTTTCTGGGTGGTTTCGGACTAGGACTAGGACCGTTGTAGTAAAGCTTTTCGCCGTTCTCCATTAAGGTTCGTTGTTGTCCATTTTCCGATCTGGTAGTTAGGATGTTTTGTTTGGATCTATATCCATCGCTGCCATTAAATCTCTCGACAGATTCATTAAAAACACTATTCTTCCTGCTGGACGACCCAGAAGAGCTGGATTTTTTTTCTCTTAACCTACCAACTTCTGTATCGACGTTTCGAACTCCATCGTGGCCTGATCTACCTTCTCTACTTCCAGAAAACGGGTGATGTTGTTGTTGTTGTTGCAGATATTTTTTCCAAGAGGCTGAAGACATCTGCTGAAAAGTACTGGACTCCGTCTGCATCGAACTATCTGTTTTTTTGACGTTGTTCGATTTTCCCGATTCTTTAGTGTTAGCCCCACTTCCTTTCCTACTACTACTTGATTTATCTTTATGAACACTAGATGGCAGCACATACGTAGACGGCAGTTCTTCTTCTTCGCGTTGAGTTCTCTTCAGGCTTCCGAATATATTCGTTTCGGAACTGACCGAAGATCCCGTCATATTGTCGTCAGTGCTGAACTCGGCAATTGTATCACTGACACCACTACTGACTGAACTACTGTCGTCAAGGCTGAAAATAAAGGAATAGAAACGATTAAGTACACAAAACATTTCCACGATATTTGTTGAATTACACGCTGCGTACTACTTGGTAGAGGGTGAGAAACACAGAATCATGCTTGGTTCTCACAGTATACGTAGTAC